TATATATATAATAATAATAGACTCTTATCTAATTGCGATATGTTTCGTATTGTACATTTATGCAAATGCGCTTAGGAGTGCGTAAAATAAATTCGAGAAGTTGTTACACCAAATCCAATTTTATATGATGAAATAACTTTTCCTCCCTAGTTGAAGGTTGCTAATTAATTGAGTTTAATATTAAATAGCTAAGCAGCAAAATGAAATAGAAAGCACAGACCAATTGGAGGGTGACGAGGAAGGGGTCCAACAAGAGTCCATTTACAAAAAGAAAAAACGAGATTTAGAAAGGTAAATATGACATTGAATATCATCTTCCAAAATTAAGTCCATTTAAATATCCATTTTAACATTAAAAATATCGAGCGGTTATTAACCATTTTCATTTTTTAAATTAATATTATATTTCTTGTATAAGAAAAAAGATAGGATTCTGAAATTTTTAATTTTTCAATAATTATGTCCTTTATATTTAATTTTGCATTACTTTCTTTATTTTTATAGTATGTAATTTATTATGTAATTCATTCACTTAGACCTTTTAATAAATAAGAAATTTGATACTTTTAGTGTTAAGAAATAAACTCCTCACGATAATCATCGTCGCAGATATTTCAACAAATCTCAATAATTGATTTCAGAAAGATCTTTCTCTAAAATACCGTTGTGCTTTTATATCGAGAAATGTTAGTTAAGATCAAAGCATCATCTAACGAAGTTCGAAGATTCTCTAAATATTTGTGTATACGAGTGTTTAAACTACACGCATAGTTTTTTTGTGATATGAATATTCGCAGAGTCAACAGGCGGATGCGAAGAGCCTGTAGAAAGGCTGTGAAGTCCCAGGTCTTCTATTGGCTCATCATAGTTCTAGTCTTCTTGAATACTGGTGTTCTCGCCACAGAGCACTACGATCAGCCAAAATGGTTGGACCACTTTCAAGGTAAATATTGTCGCGTCGCTACTTGGTGGAAATAATGTCGACTGTTGTTTGTCTTTAATTATAAATCCATTCCGGCACCTTTAGTGATGCATTTTTTTCTTCTTTATTAGAAATCACGAACATGTTTTTCATCGTGCTGTTCTCCATGGAGATGATATTAAAAATGTACAGTTTAGGCTTTCAGGTGAGTGACTGCTATTATTTCCAGATTTTCCAGATTTTGCTCGATGTTCGAAATTATGACGAAATTAATTAACTCTTAAATGCCACTGGGGATTCAAAAGAGTCCAAGTGGCTTATTCCATCGTATATATACTATCTCAGAAGTGGAGTACAATCCTAAATTTTTAGCGAAAAATATTAAAAAATTAAAAATTAAAAAAAATATTAAAAAATTAAAAATTAAAAAAATATTTATTTGTTTAAAAAGAATATGCTTTAAAAACTCTAGGAATCGTATACACTTTTTCACGCTGGGGTCCAATTAACCCCATGTGGTATCTGCGTGATTTTTTTGACGTGTGACAAATTTTAAGGGTTAATATTGATATTACATTATTCAAATAATGTTCAAATTATTTATAATTACTGATATGTATTTTTAAATTAATAAGATGAATATATATACAGGATGTTTCCCTAATTAGATCATTTAAAATATTTCCGTTGTTGTTTTTAATGATACGGGAAAATACTACAGAGAGAAAAATGTTTGATTGGAAAGGACACATATTGATAAACTAAAAGTTTTTCTCAAGGTCATCGTGATTTTTTTAAATAGAATATTCTCATTAATGTAGTAATGTAGTTCATATAAAAACAAATTCAATCATATATGATATGTTGTCCTTCAGAAAACCTTAGCATAAAAAAAAAATCACATTTATATAGAAAAAAGAAGACTTAACATATTTAAATATTTTCAATGAAGATATTTATTTACTTTTTTTTTCAGAAGATGTTTGATACAAATATACATATATGGTTAAATTTATTTTTTTATGAACTACATTATTACATTAATGAAAATATGCTATTTCATTAAAAAAAATCGCGATGATTGAAATCTCAAAAATTATTACCTTGAGAAAAATTTTTTGTTCATCATAATATGTGTGTCTTCTAATCGAACAACTTTTCCCTGTATCATCAAAACCAACGGAGATATTTTAAATGAGGAAAATTAGAGGAAACACTTCTCTCTCTCTTTTTGTGTGTGTGTGTGTGTGTGTGTGTGTGTGTGTGTGTGTGTGTTTTAGAAAGATACGTAGTACTGTCTTAAAAAATATAAATAAAACGTCTATCAATCTTCAGATATTATAATTTACCTTGCAGGGTTATTTCGTCTCGTTGTTCAATCGTTTCGATTGCTTCGTCGTAGTCGGTTCGATCACCGAAATGATACTTACACATACACATGTAATGCCGCCTCTTGGCGTTTCCGTACTTCGTTGCGTCCGGCTGCTCAGGGTATTCAAAGTAACGAAGTGAGTACAGATCAGCTAAATCTTACAGACATAAATTAAGTTTATCAAACTCTATAAAATTACGTCATCGATATTTCGTCACAAAACGACACTTCAGTATTTTTGAAAGAAATATAAATTAAATTTTAATGCAAGAGATAAATATAACGTGCGCGATGAAAGATGTGAATTGCGTTATTCTTCTGTTTGCAGATATTGGAGATCACTGTCGAATTTAGTGGCCTCTTTATTGAACTCGATACAATCGATTGCCTCGCTGTTGCTCCTGCTTTTCCTTTTCATCGTGATCTTCGCTCTTCTGGGCATGCAGGTAGCGTGAAGGATCTATAACGATGTAATGACACTTTTTCATTTATTTTCTTCGAAATTTATCCTTTGAATAGGTCTTCGGTGGAAAGTTCAATTTCAGTGATATGGAGGAAAAGACGCGCCATAATTTTGATAGCTTTTGGCAGAGTTTACTCACCGTATTTCAGGTATCTAATTATTTCATAAAAAAGGAAACTTGTTGTAAAAAATACATAAAAGCTATAAAAATGCAAAATTGCATTCTTACGATTCATATGAAATTTGATTTTGAGATTTGATTTAATTTCTTATTTTTGCGTCTCTATTTTTCCTCTATATTTTAAAAATAACGCTCGGCTTCTCTGCATATTCTCTAGATATTAACCGGTGAGGATTGGAATGCTGTGATGTACATCGGGATTCTAGCTTATGGTGGCGTCGCCGGTATCGGCGTACTCGCCTGTGTTTATTTCATTATTCTCTTCATATGCGGTAATTGTATCCTTTATCGAAAAAGATAACTCAGCGACAAAACAATCGTCCCTTTCCTTCTCGCGCAAATGTAATATCGATTCGATCTGATTTAATAAATTTTAATTGATCCTTGACAAAGATAGCAATGCAGATATCCTCTTGAACGTGTTCTTGGCTATCGCCGTCGACAATCTCGCTGATGCAGAGTCCCTGACTGCCATCGAAAAGGAAGCCGAGGAGGAGGTGAGTTTGATTATATATACTATAATAATATGTATACTGTAATAATATGAAGACATAGATACATAATGTACTAGATTGCCGATGATTTCGAGGACTAGACGAGAACTAACGTGAATTTAAAGATATATTACATTTTCTCATTTTTTAACAAAATGAGAAAATTTTTTAACAATTTTTTAACAAAATGAGAAAATTATGAAAAAAATTGCAGATTTTTTTATATTGCATTTTTTTAAAGTAATATAAAAAATTTGGCAGAGATTAATAATCATCTGAATGAAAAATTATATTTTAGTAATAAGTAGACATGTTTATCAAATATAATTAAAATAAAATGAAAATATTATAAAAATAGTATTGTTAAACATAAATATTGATCTTATTGATCTGTTTTATATGTATATAACATTTATTTTTATATGGAAAGTATATATATTTCCAATAATACTTTTTGCAGAGATTATACACTTGATACATTCTTAATATATAATATATTTCATTAAATTCGCTTTATTTATGTTGAAATATCATATTAAGAAAATTATCTTCTTTCTATTTTGTCAATGAAAGCTCTCGTGTCCCACATTAACAAAAATTTATTTAAAAATCTGTACTCAAAGTAATTTTTGCTATTGTTTTTGTATAATAACGTACACAATATATCTTAGAATATTTTTCATACACTTCGTTTTCATTAAATGACACACTTTTCGATCCTTCCATTATTAAAGAATAAATTAATAAAAAAATATAATTATGCTGTCTCTCGAAAGACCTTGACACAAAAGAACATGAAAGCAGTAAATTTGAATACACGTTATCGTTTTTCTGTAAAAATTGTAGGATCGTGTAACTTTTGAACGAACCGTTTCTTCCGGATTTCCATAAACAATCAGGCTTCGCATCATCTCTCACGAAGAGAAGCACGTCTTTACGTCGCGTGCAAAGCATTTGCGAGGGTGGATATTACGATGCGCATTACAGATAATGTGAATAAATCTGATGGTCGATGACGACAAGATGACGCCCCCCCGAATGCGAGTAAATGAATAATCCCGTTTTTAACGCTCGTGCGTGTAAAGAGCAATAAAAAGAGCTGTTTTTTCTTTACGGTCAAGATTTTATCATGTGAAATTGATTCTAATAATATTAATTCAGCTGAGAAACACATATAGTCTTTTTATAATAAGAGACACTTCACATGTCTAAAATCAAACACAAATAGTGTTCCAGAATTCTATTTATCTTTAACGATAACTTCATTAATTACGAACTCTAATTTTATCCTAAACCAAAATTGATCTAAATATTGACACGGAACTAGTCAAATTAATACGAGTATTATATATACGAAAACCAGAAAATTATTTGTGTAACGTCAGGTTTCCTTCGTCGAATGTGCAGCTGTTGCAATTCACGAAGTTATGCGCAACATAATTTTACTTGTAAGGTAATTTAAAACCACAGCGGCAAAGTTCGAAAGCTGATAAATCAGCTTGTGGATTATAACCAAACAACATTATGGAAAAACTGTTGATTACACGACGAAAATTATGATCGCGCGAAGTTCTTTAATGTACACACACTTCGTCGCATTTATAATACAACGAATTATATATTTCACTGCATTACTAATAATTTCTTAGCAAGTCTATTTGTTTTCTAATTTATACGTGTCACATATTCTTTTTTTACTGTTACATATAAAGAAATATGTAATTTCTCTCAACATTTTGTTCTCTTTTTAATGAATAAAATGGGATGATATGTGTGGAATTGATATTTGAATCGAGTACACAGATTATGTTATTGTTTACCAACGGCACTTTTAAAAGTAATAAAAGAAGTTTGTAGTCTCGTTCACAACGTGAACTGTACAATCATTGTAATAAAAAAGTAATAAAAAAGTTTATTGCTTACTCGCGCATCGAACTTTTTTTTACTGCCAATTCATTTCGTGTTGGTTTTTTGATTTTATAACGCATTGAAAGAAAAGATTAGCTGAATATGGTATAGCATTTTTAATTAGTTGCAGTCAATTTTTGGTTGCGTGAGCTTATCGAAGTCCTATACTATATTGCGGATAGGCTACACAAGCAAAAATTGATTGCTGCAAACAAAAATTTAATTGACTGTTACAGTCAATTAAAAATGCTATGCCATATTTTACCTAATTTGCTGTAGCAGCCAATTTTTTTTTCAGTATAGAAAGTGACACTGAGGACATTTTTCTCGATGTTTAAACAATGGACAGATTTTGCCTTACACAGAAACATTAACGAGATATATAATTAACTCGAGAATTTGCTTTACGATAACATCGATCAAATATTTGTGTAATATATTTCATATTAATATTTGCGAATGCGTTATCAACTCATAAGGAAAGTTTTATTACAATTATTCATTATTGCGAAGAATATTACTAAGACTTCGGTTTAATGGTGTACGAAATATAAGAGATCCGGGTTCAAATCCCGGTCGAGGTAATATTTTTCGCAATAAATAATAATAATTTATTAACAGTTTCATCAACATATTAACATCTTTATAATTGATGGTAGCATAAAATTATTAAAATTGCTTATCATTTATTTCGCGATTACTAGAATAGTTTTAATTGCGTTTATAAATCCGGAAAAACAATTCGGTGCGCAATTCGAAAAGATTACAATATGATATATATGCAAGTACATATTTATAGTATATTAGTAATTCAAGATTGAATTATTTAAAACAATGAAGAGCTTGGACATTTAAAAATTTCTAGTATTGATTGTTTCTCACATATGCGATCTAAAAATAAAGATTTTTAACAATTATACATGTTAGCTAGAGAATTTAATTAGTCCGAAAAATAAATATTTTATTTAGCATTATTTAACGCATGAATGTAATTTGTGTCACTAAATGGTTTAATTAGTTCCACAGCTTATTTTGACAGATAGACTCTATATTGTGCGTGAAATATTTGGAATGCAGAGAAATTGAATCAATTGCATCAATAAAATTATAATTAAGATTAAATTAAATTTCATTGATCAAACATAAGGACTTAATTT